GATGATATGCGCAATAACGACAGATAGTTTTTCATGAATATTTTTCACCTTTGACTGTAGATCTTAGGGACTTATATCTGTGATGTGGGTAAATCAGTTTGGATAAAAGAGGAATTTACAGTCACAGAGTCTTATTCCAGAGCTGAAATTCAAGCTCAACTAAAAGATTTTGGATTTTTAACATTTTCAGGTGACGTAAAATTTTGGAAGCAAACTTTGACTTGGTCAAATAAGGGGGGGAAAAACACATCTAGATGGTAGATATGAAATCCAGGTGATTATGCAGTGGCCTACTCAAACTCCAGCCTTAAAACTAAGCCTTCCAGATATCTCAGAGGAATTCTGCAGCGTTATTCTAAATACATCTATCTCCCCCTCCTCCCTCCTTTTCTAAACCATGGATCGTCTAAATTGTTTTTATAGCAAATCTGATTCAAGCATTTATGAACACAGGATTGTAATAAGGGAAGTTCACCCATAGGGGACTGTTTATACACGATTATCTTACAACCTATAGCAATCCCCCTTTGCCAGGAACCATGGAGGGAGGCTCCCCAGGGAAAAGCAGGGAGGAGACAGGGAGGAAGCAAGACAGATGCGCTGTGAGATGCAAGTGCCCCTGACTTGTGGCTTCTTTCATGTTTCGTAACAGGTTTCATGTAGTTATGGACTGACTGGGACAGGTGAGGAAGTCTTTTAAAGCCAGAGGGGAACTATAGTGGTTTCCCTTTTCACACTCGCTCTAGGGGGACTGGGCAGGTTGGGGGGACTGTTCCCAGCCCAGCAGGAGTGGCTTTGAAGTGTTCCTGCCCCCTGGGACAGCAGGGAGAGCAGGAGCAGCAGGCAGGGAGCAGGGGAAGGAGTGGGGAGGGACCATGCCTTTGCCTGGAAAGAGAGAATTCTTACATGCTTTGGGGACTTAAATGAGTTGTAGGCAAATACACCTACCCAATGGAAAAATCAGTAGTAAGAAATCTAATGGAGCTGTCTGGCCCCTCTAAAAAGAGATGGAAACTCAGAGCAGAGACTAGAGTTAACACCCCAGTAAAAGTAAATCCAGCCTCGTTAAGAATTCCACTAGTCATGTGTGTTTGCAAGGTAGCAAACATGGATTAACGCGATATGTAATTCACAGGCTAATTGAGTTGGCCAACCCCTTCAGAAATATGCCTGTCCAAAGAGGTATCCTTAACTGGCAGTCATTCTATGTCGCACTTCACCAAATGTCTGGTGGGACAGCAGAAAGGACTTATCACACAGTGTTACATGTTGAAACAGGCTGTCTTTTTCCATAGGGTCCCATTTTCATATTGGATTTGAAATACTAAAATCATCAAGACGGGAAAAAAAAATTCACAAAGAGGGTCATCAAGTCAACATCTTGTCTGCTGTGTTGGGGTGGGGGGAGGAGGGGAGCAAACCACTTGACAGGATAATCTATTCAATGGCTAGGATTTATTTTAACAGTCAGTTCTGCAGTCCTTTTAACTTGAGAAGAGAAGTGAACATTCTGATAACAGCTGCCTCCAGGTCAAATGTGATGAGAATTCGTAAGTCACCGCCTAGCGGCTTTGGAAAACCAATGAAGCAAAACAATTTCCGAGAATAAGTCGATGAGGTTTCACATTTTTCTTCACAATGTCATACACAGTGCTGATATCTGTTGGAGTGGCTGCTTATTCTCTCCCCACAATTTGCAAATAAAATGCCTTCTGGACTCTGTTGAATGTGAGCTGTTACTGTAACCACAGTTTTGCCGGGTTCCCCATAAAGGATTGAGATGTCAGATCTTTAGGCCATCAAAGAAGAAATAGTAATCCAGCAATAGGAGTATTCCCATTTTTAATCAAAATAAAGTCTTGTTCCTTTGCTTCAAGCTACCATTACTTGTAGTGGAGCCAAGACTAACGTTCCAGTAGATGTAGATATGGCGCCACAATATCATGAATTTACTAGAGGAGCAAATTTACTGAGAGGAACACAGCATAATTGGGAATTAAGATTCAGAAAGACTGTAAATACAATCCTGGTCCCAATAATGTGAATGGCAAAACTCTCATTGACTCCAGTAAGGCCAATTTCTTGCCTTATATTTTGGGATTTTACAAGCATGATGAAGGGTGGGTCTGAAAAACAACCAGATAGCTGTGAAATGTGAAGATCATTATACCTTTCCCTATTGATTGTTTCTTAAGTCCTCCCACTGTGTTGCACTATTGCTCGATAACGTATTTACATTGCAAGTAAAAGCTGCTTGAGCTTCCATGTTGCACTACACCTTGGGTTAGTAGGGCCTTCTTCCCTCCAGAATAGGGTCCATCTCAGTGATTCACCCTTCCCATAGTTTATAGTCCTCTTCCTGGCTGCCCAGGGCGCCAGCTAGGAGGAAGAGGCTAGGAAGTAATTTGGAGAATGCTTAGCCAACAGCCTAACAGGGGGTAGAAGAGACCTAACAGGGTCTCTTGCTCCTTGGGTAAGTGCCCTAACCAGCAGGTGATTGGCCTAAGGGGTGTTTTATACATGTCCCAGCCATTTTATTTTCCCTAGATGCCTATTCAGCTGCAATGCAGCCTTCTGAGCATACCCAGAAGGGAATCACACAAAGGGCCTAGCTACCTGGGATCCAAACTCTGCTCAGGGTATGTGGCTATATGAGTGTCACTTAAGTGCAGAAACAGGAAATAGGATTTAACCCATTATGTTTTAGTTGGAAAACTGAGACCCCTTGCTCATCCAGAGCCAAAGACAGTCTTTGTAGGTAAAGCATTCTCTTTTACAATGAAGCTGGACAGAAAGATCCAGGTGGTGAATCACTTGTTAAGCAGGAAGTGAAGATTTAGAAATGAAAATGGAAGAAACAGCAAAAGAAGAAACTTGGCACATGACCCTCATAGTCCACATAGACAAATGGATATAAATATACATTACCATGCACACACAATGTACACATATGCCCATATATGATGCATGAACACACATGCAGACATATACACATGCACACATACAAGTATATTTAACTCCTCCTTCCCTTTCTAGCATCACCTTTGAGCTGCTAACAACTCCTGCCTTTTCTTCCTCTACCACCTAAGAAGAAACACAGCCTCATGGTCATATTCTCTTATTTGATATGAGTGCTACTGTGCAATCATTGCAAAACCCTCCAACTTCCCCCAGATAATTTCTCCAATGCCATTACAAGATCTGATGTCATATTGAAAACTGAATAAGCATTGACAATGCTGACAAATAAATAACACTGCATGGAAGGCTCTACTGGTTGGAGATTTTTTTTTTTAATTTCATACAGTGAGATCTTTCATTTTTAAAGAAATGATGCTGCCACCCAATTACCACCATAGGATCTGGGAACTTTGCTGCATGAATTTGATATAGCTTGCTGTTCTGCCTTGCAAGAGGGACCTTGTCTATATTCTGGTGTGGTTACATGGCAACTTGTATTAGTATCTAAACGGGTAAAAACGTATTTCTTTGCATTGCTACTCTAAAAACAAATTGCTCAGTCTATGCACAGACTACTGAATACTATAGATGGCCACTGAAGATTTTAAAAATGTCCACCATACCCTCTAAGATGGCCCAAACACCTAATTCTCGAACACATTGATAATGGTTGTCTAGGCACATATGGTAACACTTTTGGACCTCCTGCCTTATTTAGGTATAAAACAAGGGATCCCATAGGAGCATAGGGCTGCAATTCAAAATTTGTCCTCTTTTGTTTTGTTTTGTTGTTTTTTTTAAGTCTGGCTAATAAGGATTGGGGCAGCTTGCCATAATGATCATGCTCTGGTAATAGTCCTATCTTGCACATCACAAGACTGGAAAGTCATTCTCACTTGTTTTCTCTCCCTCTGGTCCAACAGCTATCTGATTTTTCCAGGCCAAGGGGAACAGTGTCAAGTGGAAGGACAAAATGCTTCTCTCCTGACCCTAGAAAATTAGACCCTAGTGGTTAGGGTAGTTTCCTTGGAAATATGAGCTGGAATCCCCTCAGGCAGGAAAGGGAATTGTCCTTTCATTTACCCACATCTCTGGATGAGCAATCCAACTACAGAGATACTATAAAAAGGGATGGGTGCTTGTTCCTTCTCTCTCACTAGCAAATAAAGCAGAAATCTCAGCTCATTGTTTTTTTAAATAAAGAAGCCTACCTTTGGGGGAGGGTTCACAGCTACCAGTTTCAAAGGGAAGATGCCTCTTCCATTGAGCAATGAGCAAGATGCCAAAGCCCCTGATACTGGGCAGAATTGGACCCCTGTCATCATCAATTCCTATTAGCTAGGTTAGATGGTTCTTTGCTAAGTGTGCTGGTCAGTTTGGGTACCATTCGGAGACACTTCACTCTTCCCATGCCCCATTCAGGGAGCCTAGGGGCCTAACTCAGCACTCTGGATTCTGCTGAGGGCTGAAGGCCTAAAAATTAGACACTGAGGCACATGAGTCCTTTAGTGGACCTAGTTCTCAGTGACATGCTCAAGGTCACACAGGATATATGAGACAGAGAAAGAAATGGAATCTAAGTTTTCTCCCTAAAATATAAGAACAATGTCAGCATCGTTTAGTTTAGATGTGTCCTTGCCAGTGGCCACGTGCAGATTAATTAGACTCAAGGGGCACACCCTTATGAGTGAAAACATGTTCCCCAGGGACAGATAGCAGTGGCCCATATTTGTGCTGCTGCTAGTTGCTGTCAGGGAACACCCCTGCACATGCACTTTGGCAGCTGGGCTTGCCCTAGCAGCCTTACCTGGGAACCTGGGGGCCTCCTGGGACTCCAGCGGTGACAATCTGGGCACATGGAGCCTGGCCAGTAGCCAGAGCATGTCTTTGGCTAGCCAGGCTCTGGTATCAGGAGGTGTACACTGTCACCACATGCACCACCCCATTTTTTTCTGGGGGGCACTTTTTGACACCAGGATCTCTGGGTATCAAAAAAAGCCACCACGCTGCAAATTAGCAGTGCGAGGAATGCCTGCATGTGTGCCACGTGCAGTTTGCAGTGCCACTGATGGGTCTGTGGTGCTACAAACTACATGTGCATGCTTTTCTGCATGTGCCCAAGGGCATTTTAAGGGAGTTGCTTCTTCCTGCTCTGACTTAAGGCCAGATCCATTGCCAAGGAAAGGCAGTAGACTTCTTTCCCTTTACTTATCCAGAGAACCCTTCTCGTTTTGGGATTGAAAATATCCTGGCTGTAACCCAGAGGCAACTGGTTAAAGGCTTCTGGTTTAAATGCCAGAAGCCACACCAGCTGACCCCAATGCAGGTTTAACATGGGGTTTCCTGGTTTCATAATAATACATCAGCCTCACAGGAAATGACCAAAGGAAGAGATGGATCCTATCTTTTGGAAATCCTAAGCTGGACCTTGTCTTTCCCAGAGATAAACAATGAACCACTAACACTGATCTTTCTTTCCCTCCCCCTTTAAGACTCATGGAAAAGCCAGAATGTTGAGGAAGATCCAAATTTTGCTTGGTGTCTTTTTTGTCTTTGCTTTTGGCATTTTGTACGAGTTCTCCCGCTACCCAGGCTGCCTCTTCTCATGTGTGCCCATTTCCAAGAAGTTCCCAACATTCAAAGGAGTTATGAGCCAGGGCAACAGCATCATTTTTCTGGAGACCACTGACCGGCTTGAACCTCCTCCATTGGTTTCTTGCTCTGTCGAATCCGCTGCCAGGATCTACTATGACAGACCTATTGTTTTCTTCATGAAAGGGCTGAAAAGCAACATAAGGTGGGATCCAAAGAACAGCTCCACAGCCTTCTCACTTTTATCTGCTATAAAGAATGTCTTCATTGTCCCTCTCCAGATGGAGACTTTACTCCAGAAGACACCTCTACTTTCATGGTACCATAAGGTGAGTGGAAATATTAAGGGGACAAAGGTGCTGAGTACATGGGGGCCTGAGGGCCCTGGCCCCCTTCGGGAAGAACAGAATGAAAGAAATGTAAGATTCTGCATAACAGGAAGGGTGACCAGATTTGATGAAACTTCAGGCCACTGCACACTGTTTTAATCCCAAGCCTAAATTTTTATGATCCTCACTTTGCTGGCCTTTTTTCAAAACCTAATCTAAATCTTACTGAACTTAATGGGAGTCTTTCAACTGAATCCAGGGGACTATGACTTAGGGAAGGAGTATGTAAAAATAATTTTTTCCTTAGTTTTTGTGTTATAGAAATAATGGCTGAAGACCCTTTTTTACTATTTGAAAGAAACACATTTCTTAGAAAATCTAGTAATTTAGCCATTAATATTTAATGGATGCATCTACACATTCATTAATGCACTTTTGTTATTAAGTATTAAATTTAATACCTCTAATGTGAGGTACTAAATAAATGCACATTAGGCTACCCTAATGTGCACTAGTGAAAGCATATGCTTTTTAGCGACACAATGCATAGTCGTCTCTTTTTACTGCATATAAGTGTATTAGCACAGTTTTTTTACATAACGCTTTAATGAGCAGTAAAATAGGCCACACTGTACATTAAAGCACATGTGTAGACATGACCAAAGAGACTGAATTGAGGGTATGTACTGTATTTTTTTTACAAGGCAGCTAACTGGCTCAGCTGTTCAGACAGATGCATTTTGCACTGGAGGCAATTGCATCATTATGACCCCTTTCCACTCCTGCAGGTAAATGAAACTCAGGAGAAGAATTGGATTCACATCAGCTCTGATGCCAGCAGACTTGCAATTATCTGGAAATATGGTGGGCTCTACATGGATACCGATATCATCTCTATCAGGCCTATTCCAGTAAAAACATTCATAGCAGCCCAGGCTTCCAAGGTTGCCAGCAATGGGATTTTCAGCTTTCCTCGCCGTCACTCATTCATTTGGAATTGCATGAAGAATTTTGTAGAAAACTACAATGCGGACATTTGGGGACACCAAGGTCCCTATTTAATGACAAGGGTGCTTAAAACCTTATGCAATCTTACTGATTTTAAGACTGTGAAGGACCAAAGCTGTCAGAACATTTTCTTCTTAAATCCCCAGCGTTTCTATCCCATTCCCTATCAATTATGGGAAAAGTACTATGAGGTCTGGGACAAACACACCAACTTCAGTGACTCCTATTTCAGTGACTCCTATTTCAGTGACTCCTATGCCTTGCACCTGTGGAACTATATGAATCACCAACAGAAGACAGTGGTTCCTGGAAGTAATACACTGGCAGAAAATCTGTACAAAACCTACTGTCCCATCACATACAAAAATCTTATTCTGGACAGACATCAGGGAGGTTGCAAGGGAGAATAAAAGACTGTTCAACTGGATACAGCAGAACAAGGGACCTTTCCCATTTGGGTATTCCTCTGACTATGACACACTGCTCACAAACTTCTCCTCTTCACCAGTGTGTGCTTCTACAGGTGCATTAATGCACTTTAATTCATGCACATTAAATCTAGTACTTCCGTTGTGAGATACTAAGAAAATATGTATTAACTTGTTTTAATGCACATTAACTAAAAAGCATTGGTTTTTTTTTAGTGATGCTTTAATGAGCATTAAAATAAGCTAATGCACATTAAACCACACATGTAGTTGTACCCAGTGATTCCCACTTTTGTTCCATCTCCAGATCTCTCTGTAATGAACTGCCTCCTTTCCCAAATTCCCCAGGACTGAGTGAAATGTGTAGAAAGGCAGAGGGTGCAAATATCACTTCAGCATCAATGGTAAACATGGTAAACATGCCAATAGTATACATGTCGTATTCTTTAGGGGAAATAACTTATGCCTAAGTCCTAAGTGATTTAGGAGCCTCCGTCTAATTTTCGAAAAGCTGAATTGGTGTCTAGGAAGCAAAACTTCATTTTTCATCGAGTCTTATGCCCTAAGACTAGGTATTTATGAGGTATTTATGTGCCTCAATGCAGATAGACAACAGGATTTTCAAAAAAATGAGGTGTCTATCTATCTGCCTTGCTAAGACCTTACTGCCATGAACAATCTGGCCATTTGTATGCTTTTAAAATGCTATCAGCATCCAGTGAATATTTGCAGGCAAGAGCTCCACAACCTGACTAGCTATGAAAGAAGACTAAAGGATCTAGGATACGTTTCTGGAGGGCATAGGACAATAGAAAAGGGAGTTCTGGCTCTCCAGTTAGGATGTGTAATATCTGGGACTGTGTCCCCCATGTGCAGCACAGAGTGGTGGGTGTCTGGTTATCCCATCCTTATGGACTTTTGCTGGCCATCACATGGAGCCAGGAAGGTTTTCTTTCCCTTCCCACTTGCTGTTGCAGTCTGGGGTCTTTTTCTGACTTCCTCAGAAGCATTGGGTGCTGGCCACACCCAAAGCTGGAGACTTTAACTGGGTGTGCTGATACTCTTACTGGGCCTTAGAAAACCTGGAGGTTCCTGGCTAAGGGGTCTTGCTTCTCTGCTGAGGGTCAAACTGATCTCTATATTCAGGGTCAGGAAAGAAGTTGACTCCGTAGTCAGACTGGCATGAACTGTGGGGTTTTTGCCTTCATCTGCAGTGGGGGCATGGTCCTCTTCCTTGGGTCTTTTGAGCATATATTAACAACTACTTCCTATCCTTGCAGGGGCAGGACGTTGACAGTGCCCTTGTCCCCCTGCTTTACCTCTGGCAAGTTAAATAGAGTGTGATTCTGGTGTCCTAAATATCATGTTTGGTAGTCGTGTGTGAGGGTTTAGACCGAAAGATTTTAAGAACAGGTTAGACAAACACTTGTCTAGGATGGTCTAGACAGGGATGATGCCTGCCTTGAGCAGGAGGTTGGATTAGGTGACTTCCTGAGGTCCCTTCCAGTCCTACTTTTCTATGAGTCTATGATTCCATAACAACCAGAAAAATAATAGCCCAAGCTATTCCAAATTTTTCATTCACAGAGTTTAGTTCCCTCCTATATACTGAAGCTTTGTCCTCAACGTTCCTAAGTGTGATGTTTTAAACAAAGGTAGAAATAAAATGTTTAACCAAGTTCACTGGCTCCAAGCTTCTTTTGTCTCCTGAATCTCCTTTCATTCCATACACTCCTTCCCCCCTCCACCCCATTTTTTATTTTCTTATTCTATTTCTTCATTTTTTCTTCATTGCTTCTTAGTAAGACATCTTCCTTGTGCTTTCCGAGTATGTATGGGGTTTCATCAGCCATAAGTATGTATATGGCCTAATCAGAATTGTATCTGTGAATTCATCCACGCAACACTCCTGTGACATAAGGCAATGCTATTATAACCCTGCCTATCCACTTGCCATTCCTCCCTCCCCTCCTCATTTTCTTCCTTTGTGCCCAGGATTTGGGCGATAGGAGGACTAACAAGATCTGGCTTCACCTTTTCCTGTCCTCCCTTTCTTTTAACAACACCTGGTCCTCCTTGCCTTACAATCTGTCTGTTCCACCAACCCCTACCCTCTGGTGTGATTTGCAATCCAAAACAGTGAAATGGTTTTCCTGGCATTTGATCTTTATGTCTTTTGCCTTTACTTGGAAAACAGAGCTCCTGGGCTCTTTTCAGGTGCTAATTCACACCTTTTCAAACCCAGAGATCTAAAGAGTTTAAATACTGCAAATCCCTTTGGTCTGAAAGGCTGTTGACAAACACAGTTCCTGATGGATGGCAGGTTAGTAACCCGTTACCCACTGTTTGCCATGTGCACAATGATATCTTTTGTAAATACTAACAAGCTGGCAGCAGCTTGCACTGTTTCTGCAGCTGCAAGTTACAATAGAATTAAGTAGGAAAAGAGAGACCCCCCCTCCCCACACACATATGCATGCTTTTGCTTAAATGAACCCTTTAACCTTCTTCCTTAGGGCCTGATTCTTCACTTACAACAGGGTTAGTCAGAAGTAACTACACAGATCCATGGAGTTACACAGCCTAACACCAGCATAAGGGAAAGGAGAGTCGAGCCAAGCCTTTCCAGTTGCCCGAGCAACAGCTTGGCTTTGGGGAATATTTCCCCATTCCTTTTCCAACAGAAGCTCTCTAGGCTCAGCACGGTGGAGCTGCTGTCATCACAGAGGTGCAAAATCACATAGGTATAAACTGAGCTTTCTTTTTCTCCTTGCCTTCTGATGAGGGATCCTGCATTTTAGCTTGAAATCACCTGGGACCTGCCTTTTTCCTGGGTGGCTTTGGATTTCCTGGTGGGGTACGCAGGGAGGGTGTAGAGTTACAGCATAGCAAAGTCCTCCCAGTGTTCCACGCAGCTTTGGACAACCCCTCTGTGTTGGGAACCACTCTTAACCCTCCACACGCATCGCTCCAGTCCGGCCCTTTTAGACCCTCCCTTTCAACCTCTCCCTCCTTGGGGACAAGTAAGTATTTGCTTTTTTATGTCCCGGGGCTTCATTTTGCAGGCTTTCCATCCTGATACAGCACTACACAGCACACATGAAAAGGCGATGGAGGGGGGAAAGTGCGAGGGGGATTTGTTTAACTGGAACAAGGCACCGGGGCTGTTCGCACAGCCATGCAGTCAGAAGAAAAGTATTTCAGAGGTTCTGCTTGGTTACGTATTAGCTGCTCTGTCATCCGTCTAACGGGCGGATCAAGTTCAGCATAGTTTCTCCCTCTACTTTGTTGGGAGCTCGGTTTGCAAGCAGTCCGGCCTCTCTGGAGCAAGCAGAGGCAGCATAGATTTAGCTCTCTGAATCCTTGCTCTCTGAGCAGTTATAACAAGGGGGAATGGGAGTAGGCAGTTCTCTTGCAGCTGTCTAAAACGGAGGAAAGCCTTTGGATTGCATTAGGGGTTTCACTAGTTCTCGATCAGGCATTTTTGGCTTCTGACAACAAGAGACATTTCCAAAAACTAAAAGAGGGAGGAGGGATTGCATACTGTTTTCACTGGAGGCCTGGAGGAGGCCGATGAGCTGGCTAAGCAGCTTCTGGATCTGGGATCCAATCCTGAAAGCAATGTAGTAGTTCAGGACCCAGCAGGAGATTGTTTGAGTGAGGGATGAGTGCTCAGGGTCCCACCACGCTGCCCAGCTGTCATACTGCTCCCAGTTTTTGGGCACTGATCCCAACACATAAATGTCCAAAGAAAAAGGAGGCCTGGAAAGGGGGCATGGGGTGGCTGCTGGCACCTCTGTTTTGGACAGGGATGTGTTAGCTTTCATATAGCTTGTTGGGTTTTTTTTTGGTTTTTTTTAGAGGGGTGGGAAAACCAAAGGCTTAAGGAAAAAACTAACCCCATTGGCGTTAGAGAACTGAGGGGAGCTAAGGGGAAAAACAGAAATAAAGGAGGGGAAGGGAGGCCTAATTTCATAACCCCAAAGCTTACTTGGTAACCTGCCCCTCGACGATTTTGCTGTCCCACTCCACATCCCCTTCTTGTGCATCACTTTCATCCCTGAGAGCATGTTTCCAGTCTTGCAACTCTTGCAGTTCCCCTAACACCCCTGGCCCTCATTGCTTCAGGGGAAGAAGGATGAAGATTGAGGATTGCAAGGAAAGGTGGTCCTGTGCCTCTATATTGAGCTAATGTGCAGGGCCGGGTTTAAACCGTAATTTTGCATTTTTTGTGAAAACTACAAACTTAAGTGACTGATGATCATGAAAGCATTCCCCATCCAGCAGCAAAAGCCTAGTAGCCCAGGGGAGGGGGGAAGGGGGCTCAAAAGGGACAAGGGGAGGTTGGGGATGGGGAGGGGAGGGGCTGTTTGCTCCTCTAGGTGGGAAAACTTGGGGGAGGGGGATGAGATGACATACATGTGGAGCAAACAGCCTTTACCCAGTGCCAGGGCCATCTTCCAGGGCAGCCCCCAAGCATCCCCAACTCCCCATGCCCCAGTTTTCCCACCCAGAGGAGCAAATAGCTCCTCCCCTACCCAGCACAAGGCCATCTGCCAAGGCAGCCCCCAAGTGCCCCTAACCCCCCTGCATCCCGGTTTTCCCACCTAGAGAAGCAAACAGTCCCTCCCCTACCCAGCACCAGGGCTTTCTGCCTAAGACATCCAGCAGCTTCCAAGCCCAGGAAAAAGCCTCTTTGCAGCAGCTTAGCCATGTGGAAAGACCAAGCATGGGAAGCCAGCACAGACCCGTGGCTATAAAAGCAGCCAGTCATGGAAGCAGGAGGCTTTTGGTGCAAATTTTCAAGCAGCTATATCATTGCGTACCCACTTCCCTACCCCACTACGTGGGACAGATGGCCACTACTGCTGTTCCTGCCTTTTCCAGTGTGGGGGTGGGGGGCACTTTTCAGCAGCGATCAGAGGCCTTGGGAGCAAAGCCTCTGCTGCTGCAATTAAACCTGGCCCTAAACCTGCCCCCTCAGCCAATCTGGGGGCATGAGGGGGGTGCCACAATCTGAGCGTACAATCAGGCCCTTGCCACAATCAGGCAATGATATTAATGAGCTGGGCTCATGCTTTAAACCAGGGCCTACTAACATGACTGTGTTGCCAGCAAAGACAATGCAAAGATATACCATGCAGCAGATCCTTTGTGGTGTAAATCCCAATTGCTCCACTGATAGCAGCAAGCTGCACTGATTTGACACCAGCTGAGGATCTGGCCCCAGAATTCACTGGGGTATTAGTGCACTCCTCTCAATGGATTGGGTTTTAATAGCTGCTAGGATACAGGGATGTGACGGGTTGCTAGGCTCACCGGTATGAGAGCTGCAACAAAGACGGCTGGCAGGGAAGTGCAAGACCAAGCAGGTCACTCACTGGCACAACATACGGCCAACCCGGTGAATGGTCTGTCACCCATTCACTGCCTGAGGATTTGAAATACCAGCCATGTACCATCAACACAACAAAATTACTTTGCCCCTCTTTATTTGTGTTATAGAAGCACCTTGGAGCCCTGGTTATGAACCACTGATCCTCTCGTGCTAGATACTGCACAAACCCAGAACAAGGAGGTGGTCCTGGCCCCAGCAAATTTACAGGTCTGATAGAGAGAGTGAATGATTGTATAGACAAAGTTCACTTCTTTTCAGAGTAATGCACAAAACAGGTTGCATATACCAGCAATCCCAATCTCTCATGTTTGCACAGTTTTGATTTTCAAAGCAAGCAAGCAAGCAACCCCCATGTTCCATTTCTAAAATGTGGTGCCTTTTCTTACATGGCTTATCTCTACCTGCCACAGTTTTTTCCTTGCAATTTGATGATGCACTTAGAAAATTAAAGCCAGTTTAATGACTTGGAAGCCAAAACTATCAACGTTTTGGGGAATGGAACATGAAGTAACTTGTGAATTCCTCATGTTCCAAGTTACCTCTCTCAGAAACATCTGGCACCTGTGTCCTGAATTCTGCCTAACATGGTCTTGTCATAATTTGGCCCCAGTGGAGACAGAAGGAGAAATTCTGGCCTAATCAGAGCAAATGAGGTTAGTGAAGAAGGATCAGAGCAAATGAGGTTAGTGAAGAAGGATCTCCCAGTCAGTTCTTAGCCAGTATTAATCCTCATAGCTCCACTGGAATCAAAGGAATTATGCTATTTTATACCAGCTGACAATCTGATCCAGTTGAATTCAAATAACGTTTTGAGGAAATAAACAGGTTACCCAGAGAGGTTGTGTGCTCTGCATCTTTGAAGGTGTTTAAGACCTGGCTAGCCAAAGCCTTGGCTGGGATGATCTAGTTGGGGCTGGTCCTGCTTTGAGCAGGGGGTTGGACTAGATATGACCTTCTGAGGTCCCTTCCAACCCTCATTGTCTGTGATTTTAAATAAATCTCTCAAGCCAGGCCAACTTATTAAGCCTGACACTGTGGGATAGAGACTGACTTGTACAAAACAAAGCCATATTGGAATTGTACCCACCAAAGTCTCCCACATGGCACCGTGCAGCACAGATTCAGTGGAAAGCATAGCAGCTTAGTCACAAGCCACTCTACCGCCTGCCCCAAGAGCGTGTTTTGGTGTCTGGGCCTAAGCTCCACATTCATGATGACAACCTGATTAACACACCATTCCCTTGGCATGTCCAGAGATGATTAATATTTACCAGGTTGCACAACAGCATCTGCCTCCCATGTCATGCAGCAAATTATTAGCAGCTTTTAGTGAGCATTTTGAGAGTAAACAGGGAAAAGGCAAGGGTGAGGGAACCTGGGGTGGGTCAGAATCAGATTGTGTTCCTGGCCACACCGTTCAGCAAGAGCCAAGTGTGTCAAACCTGGCTGCAGACTCAGACCTCCCTTTTAGCCTCCACTACAGGAACAGGCAGGCTCTCTAGCGAACACTTTTTTTATCCACCCATGGGGCACTGGAGAACCATGTCCTTCTAGGAGCATTTTGGTGGGGCTGAAGCTCGAGCCAGCCAAGTTTATACGGATGGATCCAGCAAACCAGCACAGCTTCATCAGCTTTAAGGGACATTGTGAGGCGTTTTGCTTTAGACATAAGTATAATAGGACAGAATTATGATATGGCTCCAATGACCTTGCTGACTAACTGTATACAACTTATAAAGTCTAGTTATTTACTGCACACCAAAGCACATTATTAAAGTGATGACATCAAACTCTCAAGAGGTGGGAAATGCCACAGTTAAGTTGACTCGTACACCCTTAATTCAGGCATGGCATTGTGATACAATCTTTAATTACATGATCACATCCTACTTTTCCCACAGGACCCTTGCCTGGTTCAGAGCCCAAGGGAAACGGGGGCTCACTTAATGAGCCGCTATTCAGTATTTCCTATTCTCCTCATTGTGTGGCACCAGGCCTTATTTACTGCACACTATTCAAACCCTGCTTTGAAGACAGAATTATTAATGTCCTTGTGAGTTTTTCTATGGTGCCCATCACAACAGTGTCAGAGTACTTCACAACTGGTAATGAATTTATTTTCATGGCACCTCTTGGAGGTGAGAGGCTAACATTATCTCCATTTTACATATATGGAACTGAGGCCAAAGGAGATTAAGGTCAGAGGTACCCGATAACTCTGGATGCTCAATCTGAGACATTGCAGACTTGACTTTTCAGAGAGCTGAGTATCCTAGGGCACTTCATATATTCAAAGCACAGCTCCTGCTGACTTCAGTTGCAGCAGTGAGTGCTCAGCACTTCTTCAAAAAATATCCCAGAGATCAGAGCTACAATTTCAGGGGAAGTCCAGCTCATCCCTGTCTGGAGCATGCTCAGTGCTGAAAGAATCTGTTGGAAATTTAGCTGCTAAAATTTAGGATCTACTATTTAAGAAGTTCTGGTCAGTATTTGCAAGCTGAAAGAGCTTGGCTTCCAGTGCTCTGGATACTCAGCTGGGAAGCATGAATTATGGGCTCTATTCCAAGGATCATTTCCTTTTTTTTTTTTTTTTCATTCAATGATTGTTTCAAGTGACATCCACAAACAGTGATGGAAGCAGAGACTTGTCCCTTGTTCAATCTCCTTCTGGCTTCATGAACCTTGCATTCCTTTTGGCATAGTGGCCTGCCTCTTAATAGGAGGGATGAAAAGAGCTCTAAAACCAATCTAGCCTCTAGACTGGTGCCTGTGGTGGGCTATGGGTTTCCATTCTCCCAGGCTGAGGTGGAGGGACATCAAACCAAACTCTCTTCCCGGACACGTGCTCTAACCTCTATGGTATTATGGGACCGTCCCCATTTTTATTTTAAAAATGAAGCAGCTACAACTACCTTTTGTGAGGGGTCTGATCCTGTCAGGGTCTGGGGCACATGCATACCTACACGATTGAGCTCCTCTTGCTACTGAGGTTTCTGGATCCCACTGGAGCTTAGGGAGAAGCTAGCTGCTGAGATAATCAGGCTGGGGAACTTGTAGCCTTGTGCAGAAGGCAGAACTGCAGGCATTAGGGAGGCACAAGGCAGAATGGAAGACGCACTGAGTTTAGGCCAGTGATTCCCACCCCGTGGGGTGGCGTGAAGTCCTTTTAAATGTGATACAAAGTTTTGCTCAATATTTCCAGAGACTTCAAATAGGACCCCCCCTTCCAGTGTCAAAAACATTCTGACCTGCTGTGAGCTTTCTGAATGCTTTGCAACAGAATTGATCTATTATTTTTCTATATTCAAGAATCCAGTGAAAGCTCAGAGCTGGCATTTTCTGAGGGATGTTTGTGTCTAATGAGGGATGTCTTGAGTCTAAAAAGGTTGAGAACCACTGGTTTAGGCAATACCCAAGGGTAGGCAGAAGCTGAGCAGGAGTTTTATGAATTAAATGTTTGGATTTAGCCACCTGAACTCTCTGTTAATCATGTTTTGGTAACCTAAGTCCTGGGGTTTTTTGGATTTGCCCCCTAGGTCTTTTTCTTTTCCTCTCTCATCTCACCCTCACTTCGGAAAGTTTCCATATTTCCAGGCTGGTTACTCCTTTCTCATACAAAGGAATTTCCCCTGTCCTGCCTCTATGACTGTAAGGGTAGGAATGTAGGATTTGTCATGCCCACATCATCCCTTGATAAGCCATCACTAAGATCCTGCCTACAGCAGTGGCTAATGCAGTTCACAATGCTTCAGAGGAATTCAACAAGTCTCAAGGGGCACATCTACATGAAATGCTTTAAGGCGCGTTAGCCTAAATTTAAGGTGCATTAGGGAATGTGTCTACATGTGCACACCCTTAATGCACTTTAAAAATGGCACTTTGGGGCTAACTGCACCTAAATTTGATACTTGCAAATGCAGGTATCAAATTCAGGCGTTAATAGTTATGGCACATTAATGCACATGTCAATGCGTTAAAGTGCACAATGCTGTGTGTGTGGACTGACTTGGAGCTAACTTCGGGTATTTTTTACACATGGAAGTCCCACAGCACCAGGCACTTTAAAAAGTGCCTGGCGCTGGGATGCTTGCGATTGTATAAGTAGTGAAATGCACACCATTGCTGAGAAAATGGTGGCGGCGCACTCTGGAACTAAAGTACATTGGAGGTGCTTTCGTTCAAAAGTGCACCACCACCATTTTCTGCACGCTGGCGCGTGTTTTGCCACTCAATTTACCGAGTCTGCTCTAAAGTGGTGGATCTCCAGCATGTCACGAGATGAAAAAGTATGTGTTTAACTGCCATCTAGTCCCAAGCCAGTCCACATACAGCATTATTTTTAATGCCTGCATGTGTAGACGCCTGCCTAAACCTGCCTAATGCACATTAAGCTAATGTGCATTAAATTTTTGCCAGCTTAAATGCATGTGTAGACACGCCTACAAAGAACTGACACATGCATGTGTGCATAAATGTATTTGTGTGTGTGCATATATATGCAAAGAAAGCACACACTGCTCTATACTTTCTGAATTGCAATGTCATCAATTTTTTTCTTAGAAGTGAATTCCCCCACTTCCCTTTTCCAGCAAATTATACATACACACGCTTAATATATATAATATATATAACAGCAGTAGGAGGCCTTCTGCGATCATTGCTAACTGTGAGCGATACAGAGCACACACAGCTCTGTTAGTACCCATGTAACCATAACAACAGGAGCTGATAACCTAAGGACAGAAGTGATCCTTGCAGGTTTCTGTTTCATAGAGCACAGGTAAACAGAGCCTGGCTTTACCTCCCACACCCAGATCGTATTGCCAGTCAGGCAGCCTGATGGTCTAGGCCTGCCGGGGGGGGGAGGTCCCTTTGTTTAATGTGGCAACAGAAAAATAGAAGTTTTCACACCAGATCCGACAGCAGTTGGCTGGTTAATTTGCTTGTATGTGAATGGTTATCCAGCAGAATTAAGTGATTAAGAGTGGTGAGCTAGTGCTGTGGTTTTGTTTGGCTTTGTTTTGTTTTTCACGGTACCTGGCAAAAGTGTGCTTTAAACTTAATTGAGACTTTGCAGCACTCCCACAGTGCAAATAAATAAAAATAAACTGGTATCATTTCACGTGAAAAATACTTGAAGAGCCTGTAATTTTGGCCAAAAGAAATTAGCCTTGACATCCCTGCCCCATGCACAAGTGAGAAGGGGCAGGTTGGACAGGACAGCTTTCAAATCAGGTTTTATTTGAAAATGTATATGTGCCCCCACAAAAATAATGAAGCAGGCAACAAAACAGGTCAGTTGTAATCCAGTGTGGTACTAGAGGAACAGTATGTAGGACTTTGAAGTGCTGGGTTGTGGGATTTTTTTTTTTGCATTGCTTAAAAACTCAGACAAAGGTAAATCCTGGAGTTCAGCTGCTATATTGATCTGCTCTTTTCAGCCTTCCTTTTCATGAAAAGCAACAAAAGGCTAAAAAATGATGGCTCCTAAAGCAAATACTTGGACAGCTTCAAAATAAAGAAATGATCTGGTGGGATCCCTGAAAGCTTCTCTCTTTTACTCTTACATTGTCTCTGGCAGGACTGCTCACAAGGGCACCTGCATGATAGGAAGGGTTTCACTTGACTCTCTCCTCTGTTTCTGGGTTGCCAGCAGTTTTTACCCTCTCACACACTGCTCAGTCTCCTGCTGTAGCCCAGAAAGAGACCAATGCAATAAGTCAGGTAAGTTCAGTGATGTTAGAAAGAGCCATCTCAACTAATTAACCTAAAACACTAACCTGTTTCTATTATTTATGTTATAGTAACACAGAGACCCCAGCCATCACAGTAGGGACAGTATGTGAACAGGGAGACAGAGATGTGACAGACGAAGTAAAGCAACTTGTCCTGTGCCAGCCAGCAGGCCACCTCCCTCAGTCACTGAATTATTCTATCTATGTCAAGCATCAGATGACTCCATGAATGGGCTTGCTTTCAGCACAAGCTCCTGCAGTCTTGCAGCTGTCTGGTACAGTAATACAGTAATAGTGCAGCAGTTAGCCAGGGGACAGCTGTTTGATGCAGTAGAACAAGCAGGCTGAGCAAGGGCAGGCCTGGCAGAGAGCTCCAATGTCTTGAATGGGAAATGCCCAGGCTGGACTTTGTAAAGGCACAGACCCACATGGGACAGCAAGTGTGCAGCAGGAGAGAGGCCCTGATCATGCAGCGAGATCCCCGCAGGCAGCCTGCTGCCCATCCACAGAGCCCCACCGCCATCGGTAGGCCTGCGGACAAGCACTGGGACACATCAGTGCAGAGCTCCCTGCAGGATCAGGGCTTGCTGCAGATTAAGTCAATGTGGTGCCCCCAGGTAAGGCCAGAAAAGGGGCCACGGTGGGCACAGAGGAGGCTTTTGAATGCCCTGTGTGTTGCCTTGGAGGTCTCAGTGGGCAACGTAAGAGCTAATGCTGACAGACATGCATGCCTTTCCAATGGGGAATCATTTCCCCTGTGGAGCTGAAGTGGACACGAAATGTATGACAAGGCCAGCTCCAAATCTACAGGCCAGGTAAACCAACTCAGAAAGCCATGATGCAAGTAGTGAAGTCAGAAAAGAAATGGGGAAGGATTTCCTAGTGGATATCAAAAATGAATAGGTGAAGGTTGCAAAATATCATACAAATCCAGCCCTTCTTTGTCTCTTTGACCTCCTGTCTCATTTGGTCCAAATTGGTATCGTTCCACTGACCTCAGTGGGGCTAAGCTGATTTATACCCAGGGAGTGTATGTGGCCACATAATTTTCTTGGTCTAATTAGGTGCCCCTAAAGCTAAACACCTTTCTGATAATGTGCCTATTCATTTCAAACAGCAATGTTTGCTGCTGTCCCCCTGAAAGAAAAAATTGTAGATAAAACTGTATTACCCAACGGTGTCTGCAACATCTATTTCCCCTGGGGAACTACTGAGGGAATGCACCTATGGCAGACCCACAGTTTCTCCACACTGGGATACCACCAAGGTAGACGATTTGCAAATCTACCATTCTCTGGACACAGGACACAGTTCTCAGCATTGGATTCTCCCCGTGCTTGCACCCATAAAAATCAGGGCAACCCACAGAAGACCGCATAGTCTCTCCCTTGTCAAAGACAGTGGGAGCAGGAGTCAGCCAAGCGCATACGGCACAGGAAGACTCTTCTAAAGGGCCTTGGGTAAGAGAACACTCATGGATTTCTCTTCCCTTGGTTGTGGCTCTTGACTTTCTCTCCTCCCTGTGGCATCACGTCACAACAGTCCTGGAGAAGCCTATAGGGCCAAATCTTCAGCTACTGCAGTCACTGCAGCCCTTTGAGACCCTTATAGCTATGCCAGTATGTCAGCAGAGGACCTGGCCTGTGAATCTCTCTTTATGCATTCTCCTGGCTGTGATCAAGCGCTCCCTTCCTCTGAGAGTTTAGCCCCAAGCAGAGGCTTAGAAAAATCTGGTGGAGCTCAGCTTTCCTGAAACAAGCCTAGAGTTGCATAAGCAGCCACTCGGTTGCCTGGCCCTGTTATCACTTGTCTCCTGCATACACACATTGCACCTCAGCAAAGTTCAAACAATTGAGGAGGTGTACTCATGTGAACCCCTTCCATTTTGTAGTTCTCAGTTTAGCTGTGGTGTGTACTCTACCACTTCCCGGCCTGCAGAGTATTATTATTGGTACACATGACACACCTAGTAACTTGCTGTTGCCCCCACACAGTTCTCTGTTGCCATTTCTCTTGGTGCTCAAGTGATACAGACAGTGCAATTTTGATCTGAAAAATATGGTATGTAATATTTTATAAAGGGCTGTTTTTATCTAAATATCTGTTAGGATATGCAACAGCAGGTATCACATCCTGTTCAAAGGTGACTGCAAACACTGGGAGTGGAATTTAATTTTTAGAATCCAATGTCTGTCACCCATATTTTAACTGTTAAATAACTTAGATTTTAGTTAGTAGATTTTTTTCTGCACCAAAGTGTTAGCTATAAAGCTAATAATAAAGATTCCTTCACACCACAGACTGAGAGAGAATTTTTTAAACTTGATTGTATCATTTCTGCAATCAGTCTATATTTTAGGACAAAAGTGGGAAAATGAGCAAATGGCATTATAGGTATTAATCTAGATTTAGGTCAGAGAAAGGTAATGCAGGCAAGCCCTTTTGGTGGTTCACTGGGAAAAACCAAAAATGATGCAATATTGAAGTATAATAAATTGGTTTGTTTTCCATGTCTTGTTTGAAAGCAGTAGAAACATGTGCCACATTCAAGTGTGCATGTATGATTCTGTGTATGTCCACGTGTTCTCATGGAACCAATCATTTTAAACCGCTGTAACACAGAGAGATTTAATTTTTTTTTAATTTCTTTTGTCAGGTACTAAGAGTTGAAACACAGGCCTCAGCATAATTTTGATCTGTCGATTCTCCACATACCCACCAACTGCCTTATCAATGAACTTGCATAACTTTCTTTTCAAACTTTAGTAACATCTATAGGCCTCATGTAGCCTACAAAGAGAATTATTTGTAATGATCTCTGGTAGGCACTGCAGATTTTATGTCCATAAGAGTGCATGTACACTTGCATATATGGTATTCAGTAGATATGTGGAAGTTTTAGGCACATCTGACTACTTTAAATATATGTGGGCACATATATGGAGAGGTGTTTTATGAAAGTTTATAAATGTATGTGCGTGTGTATATCATGTGTATGCAGGAATAGACCCCACAGCCAATATATTAAAATTTAAACTGAGTGTAAAAAATCAAATTTTTATTTTTAGAAAAGTTAGTTCTAAATATTGCCAAAAATAGGCATTTAAATGTACCTCAACAAGGGGACTGACTTGGCAAAATGCTGAGCAGCAACTGGTATGAGCTTTACACAAGAAAATATGTACACAGACAAACCCATGGGTACATGAGGCAGCAATATATGCAAAAGTATCAGAGTGGGTAAAAAAATGTTCCCACAAAAAAGTCCATAAAATATGATGGGTTTTCATACAAAACCCAGAAGATTAAAAAAAATTCACTTCCCTCCTGAAAACAGAATTTTTCTTGCAAAACATTTTGTAAATAAAACACTTTTTTTGTCTCATACTAGACCAGCACTACTGCTGTAGAGGTTGTGTGTACACCAATAAAGGGTAGACCAGCAGACAGGCATAACCAGCATAGAACTTGATGTGCCTACAGAGTGTGAGCACATGGAGTTACACATGGTTTTTTGCTTTGTAGCCTTTCTCCCAGAATATTTACTATCCATGGTATTCGCCTGCATTCAGGACACGGTGGCCAAGTATGCCAGGGCACGGCACCCCCATGAGCTACCCCAGCAATGGGGCAGTCTTCGGGAACATGCTCACCAGCCCTGGTGGAATCCCTGCCTTCAAATTCCAGTCCCGCCGCGACAGTATTGATTGGAGGCGGTTTAGTGCCATTGATGTGGAACGAGTGGCCCGGGAGCTGGACGTGACCACGCTGCAGGAGAGTATCAACAGCGTCACTTTTTGCAACCTTGATTCAGAGAAGTGCCCATATTGCCAGCAGCCGGTAGACCCAGTCCTCTTAAAGGTCTTTAAAATGGCACAGCTAACCATTGAGTACTTGCTGCACTCCCAGGAGTACCTGAGTGCCAGCCTGGCACTGCAGGAGGAGCAGCTCCAGTCAGCGATGGAGGAGATCAAGCTCACCAAGCAGGAGGTGGAGAAGCAGGCAGAGGAAATGAGGGGAGTCAAGGAGGAGAGCAGGAGGCGGAAGAAGATGCTCGCCACCCAGCAGCTTCTCTTGCAGGCTGGGGCCAATAACTACCACAAGGTGAGGTGAAGGGTGGAGGACAGAAATGCCTGACAAGCCTCAGTGCTCCTGGGGCCTTGAAGGGCAGTGGTCCTTTCACTGCTAGCAGTCACCTTCGCAGCAATAGCAGCTCAGTCACCAGCCCTGGACCTGGCACCGGTTGCTTAGACAATAAACTTCCCCTTAAGCCTTGGCTCAGCCAGGCATGTGAGCTCCTGTTTAAGTTTAACCAAGCAAAGAGCTGCATTGACTATTCAACTTCTTGCAGCTAAGCACAGGCATAACTGCTTTGCTAGACCGCATCTTAGCCCAGGCCACTGAGTGCCTTGAGAGGAACAGGCAGGAGCCGCAGGAGGCGGGCATCAGGCACGTACAGAAATCCATGACCTTGTCCAGAGAGTACAATCACTTCTGGACACGTTTCTCTAGTCACTGACTATAGAAATAACCCACTACTACAACAGGTTGCTCTGCACTGCAGTAGGGAAGGAAACGAATGTTTGTGTAGACAATACAGGGTGTCATAACGCTGTAGGGGACACCCTGTTGACTGTTGGTCCCAGGTTCAAGCCTTCTCTGGATATGCGGATCCTAGAGCTCAAGCACTCGTTTCCCAAATAAGTGCCTACAGTCACCTTCACATATTCGTATCGGGAGGGAAAGGAAAGTGTCCATAGTCATCCACAGGGCTACACGTCCTGGAACAGAATTCCCCTGCATGCATAAATGCCTTGCAGATGGCCAAGATACGGCCACTCAGTTGACCAGGAAGCAGGAGACTCCCGTCCCTGCTTTCTCCTGAGGGGTCCCCCTGTTGTGTAGCAATTTGGCCCTTATAGACCATGTCACATTCCCAGGTGGCAGTTGCCCCTAGGACGTCCCTCAAAGGGAGATGCCTAAAGGGCAGAAAGTGAGCAGGAAGATAGAAAAGCAGTGCTCCCTCTTGCGGGGAACTCTGTTGAGCTGGTGAGAACAAACCATCATTCCCTCCACAGCCCAGGCCTCTGCTCACCTACGCTATCAGATTATATTTGCTTGCTGATTCCCTGAGGGAAGAAATTGGATTTACCAAGAGGAAGAGAAGATGAGGGATTAGGTCGCCAACCGTGGGTGAGAGTCCTGGGGGCTATTCTCTCCTTTGGCTCACTTCTCATCTCCCAGTGCCTTAGTTTCCCATCGTTGTATACCTCCTCTCAAGTCACCATAATGATTAGAAACCAAAGAATCACTACGCTGGTTAGCTACTACTTTTACATTAGTGTCTGCATATTTATATTCATATATTCCGAACAGTCACATACTTGAAGCTATTCCTTCCTTACAAATGGCTCGAGCTTCATTTCTATACTTTTTGGTTCAGGATGAATTTGAATAAATACATACACGAAGTGCAGTAGTTCAACCCACCTTTGAATTATGACTAATTGCATAGGAATATAGGCATATCATCTTTTTCTTCATTTGTTAATGAGCCTACTTCTCCCCTAGGACTACTTTTCCCCTTGATGCTGTTAAAGAAATTCTTCTTCTTCCCCTTCACCACTTTGGTCGGCAGCATTAATTCCTTTTGCTCTTCTCTGGCCTGTGATTCCCACACCTCCCAAACCTCACATGCCTGAGCTGTCCCTGAATGTGCTTGAATTTCATTGTTGTCTCCAACCCTGTCATAAGGTCCCTCTTGGCCTTCTGTGAAGGACAATCCTGACAATCCTGCTGTCATACGCATCTGACCTATCGCTCAAGCATTGTGGGAACTCTTTGTTTCAAACTAGTAGGATGCTTTTTGGGGCCAGGGGGACAGAATGAGATATGCACAGAGTTTCATCCTTCTAAAGTGACTCCTTTTACTCATTCTCTTTCTGTGACGCCCAGTGTCACCTGTGTGACAAGGCCTTCATGAACTACTCCTTCCTCCAAGCCCATGTTCAGCGCAGACACGTCGAGGCCAGTGAAGCTGGTGAGTAATGACGCTGAGTTTCTTTTGGAAGGGTTTTCTCTGTCAGCGATAGGTGATGGAAAAGGAATGGAGAAATGGGAGGAAATGAAAAGTTCTGAGTTCCTTTAGCATCTTTCGAGAGCTGACTGTGGCAAGCCCAAGAAAGAGAGTCTGTTTTGATTTTTTTTTCAGCAATCCAGATTGCAGGTCCATTCCTTTCTATCCAAGCCTCTTTTTTGTTCTTTTTTTTGTATCAATTGATTTCTGTCTGAGAGTCTCCATCTCCATGAGCCCTGCAAAGGCAGGGAGGGAAAGGAAGAGGAAGGAGGGGAGGTCAGAAGAAGAGAGAGTTATGCCCATGAAAGGATGAAATTTCAAAACATCTTCTCTGAAACGAGGCCAGGCTCATCAGGCTTGGACGTTTCACATTAAACATCCTGGTAGATACTTGCATGGGCACCTTACTAGGATCAGTAATTTGTCTTTTCTCAAGTTATTGACCCCCACTCCCTCCCACTTGAAATCACTTTGACGTCTCTAGAACAGCAGTTCTCTACCTTTTTTGTACCGGAACCCATTGGTAAACATTGATGTCCAGTCCTGACCCAGTGCCCCTCACTCCTGCCCCACTGCCCCCGGCCCCAGGCCCCTACTTTAAAGTAGAATCTATTTTTAAATATTGTTCATAACCCTTTCATCTATTCTCGTGATCCAATTTGGGGTCACGACCCATGGGCTGAGAAACACTGCTCTAAAACATGCAAGCGCTCAGAACCTCTGAAAATCAAGCTTCATAATTAAGTTGCCATGTAGGGTCAAGGTGACTAAGATGAAGCATCCCAGTTTAAAAAGTCCCACTACCCTCCAAACTACATGGGACCCCAAATCAGTGATAAAGTATGTGCATTCAGAAACACGAACCAAAAATGTGTTTTAAAACAGGGATGTGTGCAGGTGCCCACGTGTGATTTTCAAAACAATTCTTCATTATTTAAATGGAAGAGACAACATAGCCTAGTGAGATGGGCACTAGATGAGAAGTCAAGGCCCCCCTTTCTGTCCCCGTCTCTTAATTGGCGAAGCTTGCATAGACCACTGCCCCTTTCTGTGACTCAGGTTTCCCAGTGGTAAAACAGAGACCTCTGAACGCGGGAAGCCACCAGGGGAAGGAAGCAGCCCGTGGAAAACTCTGGACATGCCCTGCTCCCCCTCCCCCTCATCTTCTCCTTTCTGTCACTCTGTGAGACAGGGACCTGTGATCTGACTCGGTAAATGGCAGTTCTTATGTCGTTATGAAATAATGATGCTCATCTCCTTGGGAACGGACTTTGAGATTGACAGATGAAACGTGCTTGATCAGAGCTAGGTATGCTTGGTTATTCATTTGCCCAGGATTTGGGACCATAAATATAGCAGATGGGCAACAGGAGGAGGCACAGAGTCTCTTTAGCAACATGCAGAAGGAAGGAGCAATTTGAGCCTCAAAACACAAGCAACATTCAAGAAATACTCTTGCGGGTGTGATATTAATCATGTCCAGTAGAGGGCAGTGGTGCCATGCATGAAATGTGTTACTTTGCAAAGGATCTTAGGTCATGATTTCAGATGTGTGAAATAACAAAATATGAAAGGTTTTTAAACACTAAGCCATCTTCTCCTTCACTGTAGGTAACATGGCATAATACTTTTTTTCCTGTTGTTTAACTCAAAACTTCTGCCCCTTTTCTTGAGGGACCGAAAGACTGATCCTGCAACATTAAAATCAATGCAATTTTCCTGTTCACTGTAAGTGTAGGATTGGATTCAAAGAATCAGGGGAAGGCTCTGGCAACTCAGGTCCCTGCTCATGGTCTCTTTGTTTGAATGGGCTTTACAGAGAGGCAGAAGAAGAAGCAGGTGGAGCAAATGGAGGAGGAGATTGAAGAGCTGAAGGTGAGGCTGAAAGAGACCCGTGCCCAGTTGGAGGCTGAAAGGGAGGTTGAGAATCAACGAAGGGCTCAGGTATGAAACAGTTATTTGGAGAAAAAGAGGGGAAGGAAGGAAACACACTGAAACAAGCAAAAATTACAAAGAACTTTTTCTAACAAAAGGAAAATGCCTGGTTTCAGTTTAAATTTTGCACTGAAAAAAATATGTTTTCTTCTTAGACCTAAAATTGGTCCCTCTTATAAGAGAATTAATTTTGAAAAAAAAAAGATTAATACTTGAAAAAAAGAGGTTCCAGTAAACTTAGAGTTTGTCTACACTGGAAGACAGTGCATTTAGCTGGACTGCTTTAGTTATACCAGCAAACATCTCTAGTGGAGATACAACTTCTATTCAATTTTGTTTGCAGTACAGTGAATACCACTTCCTAGAATTAAATAAAATATGCTAGCAAAAATACTTTTACTGCCAGGTTACCTGTATGTACACTATGGCTCTTTCTGCTATAAGAATATTGTCAAAATATCATACCCCCATCCAACTCCATTTACATCAGCCAGTTTCTAAGGTACACCTAGTCTGAGTCTGAGGCCTAATAAACAAAGTGGGGTTTTTTGTGCTGATATTTCTATGTTGGTTAGAGGACACCAGGTGGTACCAATACAATGTCTGTTGTGGATTCAGTTATACTGGAAGAGTCAGAATTATTTCAATCTGACTCATTCCCCTTCCCCCTCTACCAGTATAACTGTACCCACTCTAAGAAGATTGTACCACTTAGACAACACTTGTGTGCCCAGATGAACCCTACACTTTGAGCAGATTCACTTCCCTAAAGCCCAGCTAGAGTCTCCCAGTCCCTCAACAGGCTCAGTTTCTCTCTCTATGACCAGCTCCTCGCCAGCTTGGAGTTTATGTTTCCTTGGTAGGAAGCAGAGAAAGTTCGCCAGAGAGAAGAGGAGGGAAAGAGAGAATTTGAGAGATGGAAAGAGGAGGAGAGGACCAAGTTTCAGAAGGAAATGGATGGCCTGAGGCAATTGTTCCTCACAGAGTTCAAGGACATTGCTAGCAAGAACTCTGCCTTAGAAGAGGTAAGTGAAAAATCAAGGGTTAAAAATCTTCCAGTTGAAAGAGATGCTCAGCTTCCCATGTGTCACAAGTATTTAGTTCAATAAGCCTCATTGCTCTTTCATGTTGTCTTAATGCCTTCACATCAGAAAAACAGGCTAGAGGGTGGTGGCAATGCTTTTCGGCAGTGGAACGCTAAGCGTAGCTCCTGCTTGAACCAGGACATTTCAGTGTGAGCAAAAGCCTGGTGGTGAAATGCCATTGGGGTCCAAACTGATGAGAGCACAGAGATGGGAAATCAAGGGCCCAAGCAGGAGTTGCTGAGCCTGCTCAGTTGAGTCAGTCATTGGGATTTGGGAGATGGTTGCCTTGTACTAGTTCTGTGCTAACTCAGGCATTTTAATAATGTTGCTACGTATCAGCTTAACCCCCAAGTGGCTTTCCCTTTGGTGCTCTGAGAAAGGAGAGCAGAGACATTGAGTTGTTCAAGGCTATTCCTTGCTGCTCCCTGGTGTGTGGGTTTTCTCTTGCCTATTTCAGTGGCATGTCTCACTTTAAGGACAATCCTAGCACTGTGCACTTAAAGGACTGGCTAATAGTTTGATAAGTGAGCCACAAGTGTCTGCAGTCTAGTCATTTCCCATCAGGTGTCACTGGTAGCTGGTGGAAGATGCTATCTGTTGGTACAATTTGCTCTTTCCTGCCTACTCCAGAAACTGCAGGAGCTGCAGGCCAAAAACATGGTGACATCCAACCTGGGGACCCTGCAGGATGAGGACACTGATGGCAAGCGGCAGTGGGCAATGACCCAGAGAGAGCTCCAGGGCATGAAGGAAAAGATAGACCTGCAGGTGAGGAAAGCATCTGATCCATTTCCCGCAGTCACCTGTTGGGGACCTCTCTCCCTGAGAGACATGAAATGAAAGCACGGGGCAGATAAAAGCCAATAACTCCCCTATCGGGCCACACTAGAGCCCAAATTCAGGAAATCCCTGACACACATACTTTAGTCCATAAAGCATTGAGGCACATGTTTAGCATGTGCTTATTCCCACATAATTTCCTAAATCAAGGCCGAAATGTATTCTCTGATCCACAATCAGTTAGGGACATTGGAGTGGATGGGACCTCCTAGACACTGAGTCCAGCTACCTGCATTCATTGATAACCAAAGAAATCCCCCAAATTGACTCTGCAAACTCTCATTCATCAATAAAACAGTCGTTCTCATGTAGTAGAGCTAGGTGTCCTTTGCTTTCTCTGGAACCCTAATCCAACCAGGGGTTTGTTTCACAATGACTCTACACTTCCTTTTAGTCTTTTTTTTTTAACTCTGTGGGAGGTTTATTATAAGTAACATGTGCCTACTTTGTGACCGCCTGTACACAAGCTCACTTGCCCACGCTCCCCTTGAGTCATCACATAGGATCATCTACACCACTGGGCCAACTCCTCAGTCAGCTACAATTGGTGTGGCTTCATCAATCCCATTATGCCTATTTGAAATTGGTATACAGCGAGTTTGCTGTGCAGCATAATGTTCCCATTTCAGAGTGGAAGTTCATATTCACCAAGGTGTTATGCAATCTCAGCAGCTGGAAATGGAGAAACATCTCAGGTATCAACCAAAAGGTTGTAACAGCCAAGGATCACAAAAGCCTAATAACTCTGGCAACAGGCCCTCTTCCCCAACTAGAGCTTTTTTATGCCAATACAAGGTCAGCAGGGGTTGGAAGAAGAGACCCCTAGTAGCTTTAAGGTTGCTTTTTCCTACCAAGCAGCCTCTTCAGGATACAGCACCTGCACTCAAAGAGCCAGATATGGTGGGAGAAGGAGACATCTGGGTATTGTTAATTCAAGACAACGTTAATACCAAGTTATGTCCAACTCATGGCAAATTAAATGAGAAGAGAAACAACATGCATTTTTCATCTCTCAGAAAGCAGAATGGAAGAGGAAGCTGAAGGAGCTGCAGCAGGAGCACCAGGTGGAGAAGGAGGAGGTAATGACCAGACACTCATGAGGAGCAGAGCAGCTGCCTGTTCCTGAGGAGTACAGTAAGGTCTTGCTTGTGCCATGTTTATGTCCAGCCCACAAGAGAATTTTCAGCAGTTTTTCCTCTTTTTTCCCCTCCTTCCTAATTTGATAACAAGGATGCCTGTCGCCTTACATTTGGCACAAACATAGGTTAGATTTCAATGCCCTGCCTAACTTAACACACAGGAAAATTTTTGATTTGGGGATTTGCAGGTTGAAAGCATTAGTATCTCACATAACCATGCCATGTAGGGCAGTACTAGGGAGGAACCCTCTTTCCTTTTCTCTTTCTGCAGTCGTTTTCCTAAGACATAGCTCATGGTGCTTTATAGTAAGGGTAGCACAGAGAAGAAACACTTTACAGAGGAGGCCGAAAACTGATAACAGCAACAACAAAAAAAAGGCAGTCAGGAATGAGACTGACTCCTAGGCACAGTCAACAGGAAAGCATCACACAGGGTGCCATCAGTGGTAACAGTGGCTTTGTATTTTGCCCACGTGCCTCCTTAGATGAGGGAAATGACCATCCGCTGACATTTAGAATCATAGAAAATGAGGGCTGGAAGGGACCTCAGGAGGTCGCATCTAGTCCAATCGCCTGCTCAAAGCAGGACCAGCCCCAGCTAGATCATCCCTTTGTCCTTTGAATACCCCAGAAACAGCAGTGCCCCCCTTTCACTCACCATTTGAGTGTGACCTGCATCTATGGCCCAAAGGGAAAAAGATGTAAATGTCTATATAAATATGCCACTGGGTTGGACTGTATAGTGACAATTCAAGACAAACTAAATATCCAGGTGCTTTCCTCCTTAGCAAAGGAGGAGACAATTGCTCTAAGCTAAAAGGGAAGAACATATTTTGACCACATTTTATACTCAGTGGGTGCATCTACATGTGCACACTTAATGCACAGTAATTTAGGTTACTGCACAGTAACTGAAAATAACTGCGTAATATAGACATGCTTCTACATGTGTGTGCCCATACTATGCAGTAACTATGGTGATTTATGCCCGAGTAGTTACTGCACAGAAAGGCACGTGTAGCATTTGTAGCTGTGTTACTGCACAGTAACATTGTGTGTGTGGACTGACTTGGGAATAACTTTACTCCCAAGTTGGTCTACACACAGTGTTACTGCACTGTAATACCTGCACATGTAGACGCCAGCTTCCAAACCACTTACTGCGCAGTAAATGCATGTGTAGACACTCCCAGAATGTGTTAGTCTCTTAACTCCTTTCTTATCCCTTTCAGTTGAAGATTGAGAACGAGAGACTCCAGGCCTCCCTGTCTCAGGACCAGAGGCTAGCTACCAGCCACTTCCAGCAGCAAAAGGACTTGCTCAGTGCTCGGCTCAAAGAGCAGGCCAGGATCATCCAGGCACAGGAGAAAACGGTAAGCTTGCCAGGTTCTCTTGTTGCTGTGTGTATCATGACCAGCCTAGACATAAATGCTTTATAAGTGTGCTGAAGCCTTACAGGAGTGCAGGAGAGGTTTTTAAGCTCAGATATTAGCAGGCTGTTGGTTCTGCTTCTTAGGGTCATGGGTTCAATCCTTGGTTCTAGAATTATGGAGTATGGGTCAGCTTGGGCACACCTATTCATATGAATATCTGCTCATGTCCACTTATGACACTGCTGATACCGTGGCAAGGTCTTTGATTTAGGGACAGAAAGAGAAAGACATACACAACATGCACAAAGATAAAGCTATTTCTTTGAAATGCTGACAGTATCTACCTAGGAATTAAGGGCTGAAATCTAAAAGATTTCAAGAGAAAATGAAGGGGAGTTAAGGCACCTAAGGCATCAAAATGCCTTTAGAGCTGGCAGTAGGCATCTTATAGTCTCAATATGATTTGACCTGCTTTCTGATTATTTCCTAACCCTTTGAGGATGTGATGGATGGAATGAACGCCAATTGAAGATAAAATATCATAATTCTGTAGTGACAAAACAAACTGATCTTTGAATGACAGATAACCTATTGTTTTACAGATCAAGATGCTATTGGCAAGGAAAGTTGAAGGTAATATTCTATTGTTTGGGTAAACTGGAGTAAGAATAGGCAAGTTTTTCATAGTTGTAACTCCATCAGCCTTCAGCACACGCAGTCTTTGCCCACTCTTGACAATTTTTATTCTTGTAAATTTAGATGCTGGTTCTGTGAAAAAAAAGTAAGAAAAAATGTGTCCATTAACTTGTGCATCTTTATGACACAAGCATCTCATTGTGACTGTAGTGTGGTGTAAGCATGCAATAGAGAGAATTATACTGGGTAGCTAAGGGACTGGTTGCAGTCCAGCCATGACCGAAGACAGCTCAGTTGTGGGCTAACTGCCCAAGTGTTTACCCAGTTCCTCGGGAACGTTTTCCATGACTGAGGTATGGACATACCCAAGAGACTCAAATCTAAAATCCCAGCAACTCATTTGCATGAAAATAAGGAATTTTGTCATCTTCAGATTTTCTCATTAAAATCTACATTCCCTGTAATCGCAGTGCAGAACAAAGGCTTCCCTCCAGACTCCTGCTGGTTGCAGAACTACAGAGAGCCCTGAAATCTGTGCAACTGCAACTAAGTTTGATTCTCAGAATATAAAGAGACTAAACAGACATTACTGAAAACAAAAATGTCAGTTTTGATTGCCAAACTCAAGTGAGTAGGGAAAGCCTTCTTGCTTCCTAACACCCTAATGTACCATCAAACCTTGTGAAGAACACTGGTCTGTTAAGTTACTAGTGATGAACGCCAGTGTTTCATTGTGTTCATTAGAGGACTGCATTTCTGGAAAGAAGGGAAGTCTCCCAGAAAAATGTAACCAACAGTCAGTAAGGCCCAGACCTTCAAAGTATATAGACCCCGAATCTTCTTTTAAATCATTGGCAGCTAGATGACTGAGTACCTTTGAAAACCTAGCCCTGCATCTCTTATCCCAGCCTTCAAGGATTTTTCTTCTCTGCAGTAACCCAGGAAGTGACCAACGTAGAAGCACAAGAACAATCCTCTGAAGAAGGTAGATATCGCAGAAGTGAAAACCCTTTTCTCTTTGATCACATCATTCTACATCTGTGCAAGCGAGGGATTTCAGGCCAAAGTAGGCTGTGGGTGAGGTCATGAGGGTCAAGTCCTCTATTTTTGCTGTTGTATTTCCAAGGCACTATGAGGATAAGGAGAACAACTGGTAGAAAAATGGGTGTTGTGGGGGTTCTTTCCCTGGAAATAGCTGATGAAAATTACAAAATTGATTTAAATTCTGCACAGGGAAATTCACGTTTACAGCACAGCTTCAAGTCCTGAAAAAACCCAGCCAAACCCCATGATATTTCAGTTGTGAAACTGCTGTGGTACTTCATGGAACTCATCGTTAGGGTAATTCATGCTCCTATTCCCCTTTATAGGTTGGGCTTTATGGTTAGACTACAACTCCCAGGATACACTATGGAAAGGAGAGGAAGTACAAGCAGGGGAGGTCATGATGCATCATTGGAGATGTAGTTTGGCATTTCTGGACAAAATGTCACAGGGCTTAGATGACAGTTTGTGAAGAAAGCAAGCAAGCAAGCAACTCCAGAGAAAGTGGATGCTTTATGTAAAAAAAAAAAAAAAAAAAAAAAAAAAAAAAAAATTTTTTTTTTTTTGTTTTTTTTAAAAATTGGTTTTTTGTTTTTTTTTTTTTTTTTAAAAAAACCCCCCTTTTTCCTGGGGGTTTTTTTTTTTTTTTTTAAAAAAACCCCCCTTTTTCCTGGGGGTTTTTTTTTTTTTTTTTAAAAAAAAAAAAAAAAACTCAAAACCCAATTTTCAATCAAGACCAGACAAAATAAATTCTTCACCAACCCCTAGAAAAGAAGGCTGAATATGTGACACCAAAAAAGTGGTATAAGAGAACCCCAGATGTACAGATTGATTTATATTAGTAAATATTTAGGATTGGGAATCCAGAAAATAGACAACAAAGCTGATAGGGACATACAGATCGCCTGAGTGAGGGACTAACACTAGAGGGGTGGGGGTGAGGAGGGGAACACAACTAGGTTACAAGAGATACAAAGTTAGCCAACTAAGCCCAGGGGTGGGGG